TTCGCTAAGTTTTCTTCTCTTTTATTACTTAGAAACTCTCTCGTGAAATGTAGAGAAAAAAATATTGCGCAGTTGACATTAATTGTTCTCGACAGTGAGCGGTGACTTCCTCTTGTCTCTATTTTTTTCTACGCTTATCAATCTTTCGGTCTACTGAATTCAACCCCCGTGGTGCCTCGATCATAATCACAAGTACGTGACGCACGAGCGCGTTTGAAGGGCACGCAGCGAACGTCAACGGAAAAGAAGATGTAGAGTCAAGTGATCTACTCATAGAGCATGCTCTATACCACGCATAGAGCAGCGCGCACGGTTAAATTATCTAAATTTTTATACTAGAATCTTAACACATTGTACCTCAATCGTGTCTGAATATACACATATATTAATCGAGTTGGAGCTATTTTAGAATGCGTGTATTTGCGGTACATTTGAGAGAGATTCTCCATAGAAGACTTCCATTTATAGAATTGCAGGATTTTCCTCGAAAACAAGCATCAGCTAATCCGTAGTACTCGTATGATGCAAAGGATTTTGCGAAGCAGAGGATTTGTTAATTGTATTGTATTTCCCTCTTAGAAAAAAATTTATTCTATAATTTTATACGCGTACATATATAGAGTGTTTGCAATCTCCATACAATATTTTAATAGCGTATTTTAAAAGTAAAGTAAAGTAAAAAATCCTAATAAAAATTTTAGCTGTAAATAAAGCTGTAATAGTTTTTAAATTATAAATGATCAAAATTTGCTAACAATATTGCGTAGAAATCGCGCGCTCGATGCATAACTACACATACGCACGTACTCTGACCTGTCTTCTGTTATTGATTTTTACAAATCAAGTGATATTGATTTTTACTAGCTGATTTTATCATTTCTTATGTATATCAAAATATTACGTCAGTCAGCTATAATATTAATAAATTATAAATATTGTAAAATATTTAATTCTTTCCTATAAATAATAATTTAGAAGATTGAAATTATTATATATAAATTACATATTATTATATATAAATTATTATACATAAATGGGAATATAATTATTATATATAAATGGGAATGTAAGGCTAATACATTTTTTATATTTAAAAAATGAAGTTTATTTTTTGGATCAGAGAAATGTTTGTGGAAATCAATTTATTTATTATCTGTTTTGTAAAAACCAATAACAGCTGACGTATCGATATCTGTGTAAGTATAGTTATAGGCCTAAATGAGCAATTTTATACAATATCAAATTTTCATCAGCATACAATTTAAAAATTATTATAGGCTTAATTTGAGGCTTTAATAGGCTTTTTTTATTAAAATTTTTTACTCCATTTATCTTTAGAATATATTATTAAAATATTATAAGATGTTCCTAAAGATGGTCCTAAAGATTCATTGATAAATGTTTGATCCAAATGATTTATTGCATAATACGCCTGATGCTAATCGAGCAACGCGTGCGCTCATGGAAAGACTATCAAGTTTGCACGAGCCTGTTTAAGTAAACAAGTTATTATATGAAAGTATACAGAGTATTATTTTCTCCTCTTTCTATCCCATCAATAATTAATAAAAACATAATATTTTTAACATAAGAGAAAAAGGGAGGATGATTTTTTCTGTGTTGTGTTTTAATTTCCGATATTGTATTTTTGTAATTAATAAAAACAATTTAATATTTAAAATTATAGAAAGATTAAAATTTCGATAATTATATTTATTTATGCCCCAGCACTTTCGATATTCTTACACGCTCTTATTAATTTCTCATACAATTCTATAACACAGTTTTACTAATAGAAAAAAATTGATTTTGAATTTGCCAAAGATTCTGCCACATTATCTAATACATATTTTGATAGAAGCGAGACTCTTTTTGCATGTGATAAACGTCAATCTATGATGACAAACTAGCACGTTTTTATTGAGCGGAAATGACGGCAGCTGCTAATACCGTTCGACAAAGTATACGAGTGGAGTTGTTCAAACTGTGTCAGAGACATATCGGGTGGAAATGTGACTTCACTTTCTTCATTTCTTGTTAAAAAAATTTGAAAGTATCAAAAAACGAAGAGCTCTCTTAAAATTTTTCGATAGCGAAATCAAAGTTACATTTACTTTATCATGAATTCAAAATTTCGAATGATATTCAAAACAACATAATCACTCTATTGATGGAGTTTTACAAACGAGTGATCACATTCTTTAACGAGATAAATCGTCATTTTAAATCTTCTCGATTTTCGTAAAGTCTATAAATTCTGTAAAATAATTGCATACGCAGAATTTTACACGCATTTTAATTATATAAATACTTAGCCTGTTGTCATCATTCTTCTTTAAATATATAATAGAGAAGCCCAAAAGAAAATTTTGTATATTTCATAAATTTCATGATAACAGCCTAAGAGCATAATGCATAGAAATGTCAACAAAATATTTTATTTGCGAGTAATATTATATCGCGAAAACGATGGCATTTCGTTGTCACAAGAAATTCATTCGTTTTATTCTCTGTGCGAAGTATCTTAGCTTTTTTAAAATGTGAGCTTCTCTTGAAGAGTATAGAATAGAGATAGAAAAAGATAGAGAGAAACTGTAGGGGCATATAAGTGGTAGGATGATAATAGAAAATTTCCCTTTCACGTTAACTTTCGACACTGGTCGATTCCAACGATCATAGTTGCAAAAAAAGGAGATCTAAGGATTTGTACGCAAGATGATAGTGCAAAGGACTATTGAAAAGATTTTGATTTGAAATTAAAGATTAAACGAAGGAAATCTGTAGTTAATGAGATTAAAGTGATTTATCTCATAAAATGAAATCAGCGTGTATGTCATGGATACAATCTCTCGTGTGTATGTGTGTGTTCCGCTTAATTATATAAATAAATTACAATAAATAAACCGTGGAATTTTTACCATAAATATTATAATTAGAATTTTTCATTTTCATTTAAACATTCGGAGCAATCGAGATAAAGAGCATAAATAAAGTTATTTGTAAATATAATAATATTTATAATAGTATTAATAATAATTTTCTCTGTAATATGTACACGCAAAATAATATCAGTATACTTTTTAAAAATTAAATAATCAATTTGATTTGATTTATAATTATGTATATGATAATTACAAAATAAAAGAGTATATTATATTATAAATATCGAATTTTATATATATATATATATATATATATATATATAAAATTCGATATTTATAATATAATATACTCTTTTATTTTGTAATTATTATATACATAATATATTATATACATAATATAATATATTATATATATTATATATATATATATATAATATATTATATTATATAATATACATTGTGTAATATAATATATTATATATATATATATATATATATATATATATATATTATTTTTTTATATGACTGATATAATTGTCAACGACACTGTTATTCTTCAGAAAATATCTTAGTTAACAGCAATGTTTCATACATTGAATGCAATCTCGTAATTTCAACATTTTCCTTTCATTTTAATCTTAAGCAATATGCTTTTGAGTAAAATTAGCAACATTCGGATATACAGTAATATATCTCGGAGATAATATTACGAAATGTCAAAATACTCAAAATAATATTACAAAATAATATTCTCATTTGATAAGAAATTTAATTATTTTTTTTAAATTGGTGTCTCTATGGTTGCAGTTTCAAATTAATTTTCAATTATCGTTCTGTAAATAATTGGTATCTCATTGAAGAACTATTATATCTTCAACATTTTCTCACAGCATAAAGAATTATAGAGAATAAGAAAGTCATTTCAGTAATTTGAATTTTACACAATTGTACATAATTGGATCAAAAGAAAATAATAATTAATATATTATTAAATAATTTAAAAACAACTGATAAATTTATTAAATAAAGTAAAATTTGCGCGAGAAAAATGTCATATACAAATACATATATAAAATGAAATCAATATTATAGAATTTTATAAAGGATGTAAAAAAATGCATAGCTTTATTCTTAGATGAAAAGCTATATGTATAATAAATACATCCTTTAATAAAAATTGGAGGTAGATGCATATGAGTGTATATATGTGCAAGTAAAAAATATTTTTTTCCGCAATATATTATTCCGATTAAAAACGGTCATATTATTTGCATAGAATTGCGGAATTTTAATTAGTCGTGCTTAGCCAGCATTTGCCGAATGCCATGTCAGCATTGGAAATGTATTCCTCCATTTACGTTCACATTAAACCTATATATATATATATTATGATTTGAAGTCTTATATACGAGTTTCGTGTGTTCCATTCCGTTGGAATTGAAAAACCGCAGCTTTTAATAGTATAAATAGTATAATTTTTTGATAGTATAAATAGTATAAAACAGGAAATCACATTTATATGATTTTTCATCGCATTCTTTGCAGTAACTATAAATGTATATTTTACTATAAATATAATTTCGCAAAAATTCTTTTATCACTGTCAAATGTCCGTTATCTTGTAAAATTTATACAGCTTTTGCGCATAATTATCTTAATTATTACTAAAAATAAACTGAAAACAAAGCTTTTTTGCAATAAAGTTTGTAGTGCACGCGCACATCTCGAACGCAATAAAATTTTTAAAAAAATTTTGATGTAAAAATCAAAGTTTTATGATTATTTTTACTTTATTAAGAATTTTTCTGCAAATACCCAAGATATTAAAAATAAGATGTGAGTGTTTGCATGTGTGTGTTGTTTTCACAATACATCAAGAAAACTTGCGCTCTAAATTATCCTATTTACGGCAATAATCGACCAATCGAATGTACATTAAAAGAAAAATAGACTCCAATATAATCGATCTTATAATAGATTCGACCTTCAGGAATTTTCATGTGCGATATTTTACAGGACAATTCACAAGATCCAAAACTTAGGAAGGGAAAATAACTAATTAACTATATAAGAGAATTAGATTTCATCATAAAATTATACTTATATTGATGTGTATTTTTAAGATTTTATATAAATATATTATAAAAAACATGCTTCGCACTTAATATAGATTGATATTTTCGTTTAACATATCCACACTGCCACACAATAATTGAAAAAGAAATTTATGTGTGCAATATTATTAAACTTCAAATATTTCTTCTTTCAAAATGCTTCTTCCGTGTTGAGATATTTTTTAGTATTTTTATGGTACACATATCCTCTGAATTCATTTAAATACATATCCTGAAGTAAAATACCATTTCATCCATTCATCGATTTTAGGAGGAGCTTCAGAAAGCCATTTAATGTTCCACGAGACAGTCTCGAGAGCTTTGGCGCGATTATTCGCACCAGCACCAGCCTTAGGATATTTTGCGAAGAAAGCGTTCATTTCTTCCAATTTTGTTTCTGTGGCAAAAGATTTTGTAATGGCCGGTATAAGTTGACCGAGATATCGGTCATTCAATGTGTATCTTTCCACTAAAAAGTCCCAGTTATTACGCACCCAATCCCATACCAACAATGTACCATCGGGATTTGTGGAAATCATAATCAAACATTTCAAGAAATCTTGAGTGCGAACAATTTTCTCATCGCGAGCTTTATCGATGTATCTAATAAGAAAAGTAAAAATATAATATTACTTCGACTATGATTATATAATTTTGAATAAAAAATATTGTGATAATAAATTTATTAATATACTAACTCCTTTAAGATCGTACTACTTTTTACGCCTGCTAATCCCTTCATCAATTTATTTTTTTCTGTAGGATCGGTTTCATCTTCGAAGAATTGAAACATCGTTGGCCATTTATCTTCATCAATTTGTCGCATACCTATGACAAATTTCAAAATCAAAATCAATCGAAATCCAATTAAAATTTTTGATACTTAAGTGATATAAAGGATTTTAATGATTATAGTTAGACTAACCATAGTAATAAACTAATTCGCGAATATCAGGATGTGGCATTTTTTTAAGAGTAAGCCAATCCATAAATATGCGTTTAGCTTCTTGCAAGCATTCAGTATGTCCCATGGCACATGCAAGTTCGAGTACCGATATACGCACTTCATTATCAATACTTGTAGGCAACAAATCATCTTCCACAGCATCGTTCACAGTCCAAGTTACATCTTTGTACATCTTCTCTAAAATTTTTAATGCGAAAACCTGAAAACATTATATATATATATATATATATATATATATATATATATATACATAAAACATTAGATATACATATACATATATTTCGTGTATATATATACGCGCGCGTGTGTGTGTGTGTGTCTATGGAGGTGTAAAAATAACTTTTGTATCGAAAAGTAACATTTTAACTGATTTTTTTATTACCTGAAATTGACTTGCAGTAGACGGCCGAGTTACGGGGAGAGATTTTAATAAGGTATATATTTCTATCATTTTTGAACTTGCAATTGCCCATGGAATAGCGTGATATTCATGGCGAAACATAAACAGAGTTATAGATAACGTGACAAAATAATCTATTTCATTAGCTGCTGCTAGGCTATAGAGATCATCTAAAAGATTTGCTCGGTCCGCTATCGATAATCTCTGCAATAGAAAGAGAAATAATGTAAAATATGTAGTAAGAAACATTTGAAGAAATTAATTTAAAAAAAAAGTTATAAAGATAACGCAAAATATTATATCGATTTACAACATTTACAAATTATATCCTCTTGCTTATAATATATTAAATGATAAAGTAAATAGTTACCGTAGGATGAGTTCGAAGTAGCTCTTCAATTGGTTCCCATTCTGTTCCATAATTAACTCGATAATAACCAACTTGATTCACATTAAGTTTTATCCATTTGGTATGTTCATCAACTTCAATAACAACTGTGAAATATAAAATTATATAGAGAAAAACTTAGATAAATGGACTTAGAGAGATGGAAGATTTTGTATTATTTATACATATTATACATATTCCCCCCCCCCCCCCCAATAGAAAGAATAAACTAAATTCAAATAAAATTGACATAATCAAATAAGAAATTAAAAGATAAGATTATAACTAATAAGACTATAAAAAAGAATGAAAATAATCAAAATTATAAATCTTTAAAGTTCTAATATTTAATATATTCTTATAAGATTATTGTAAACATTATTGTATCACAAAACAAACTATAGAATGAAAAATAATCAATTACTTATGAAGGAAAATATCAATCACTAATTAAATTCGTCATTAATTTAATATCAAAGAAATAGGAAAAGAAAAAAATAAGGCATCTTTTATAATATGTAAATTATAATAAAATCAGGAGAGGGGGGGGAGAGGGAGAGAGAGAGAGAGAGAGAGAGAGAGAGAACCTTGATCCGCATCCTTATCAAACCATATAAGAGTGGATATTTCGTTTCTGTTTGTAATATAAGTAATAGGCACAGTCCAACGATATCTGTAAATAGGAAAAAAATATTGTAAAATTATTGTTAAGTAGTTTAATAAGTTCCTGTTATTAATTCGAAATAAAATAACTTACTTATAATTCGATTTCGAGGGATCAAAACTAGCATTTGAATCGCTCAAGAATCGTTTTTGAGTTAATACAAATTTGTTTAATTGTCTTTCTACATTAATAACAGGGTACCCTTCTTGTCGTAACCAAGTATCCATTATATCTGTTATGTTTAGGAGGTCGTTTGTGGTTTGCAGAACTTTAAAAAGATCCACCGTTTGCGCATTCCGATATGCATACTTATCCAAGTAGCTAACAATGGCATAATAAAAATCATCACCAATAAAGTTCTCCATCATGCGAATTATAGATGCTCCCTAGAGTGAATAATAATTTGAGTGAAAGTCAATAGAAAATCAGTGACAAATATAAAACTATTATTAAGCAATGTATTGTAATCACACTTTTTGATAAGAAATTTCATCAAAAAATGAAGTTATCTCATCTGGATTTTTAACATTTTGAATTATAGGATGAGAGCTCAATTTTGCATCTGTAACCATTACTTTATGGATTACATCAATAGAAAATTGGTCCATCTGAAAAAAGAATTTATTTATAAATATTTACGTTTGAAATATTTATTAACATTATTCGATTTAATTGCTATCACAAGTCTTACATATTTCTGGTTCGGTAAAATTTCATCTGCACTCTTATATGACATATATGTAGCAAAACCTTCATTGAGCCATAAGTCGTTCCACCAGGATAAAGTAACTAAAAAGAAAAAGATATATTTTATATTTTCATTAGAGAGTATTGTGTTATTGATTGTAAATATTTACCAAGATTTCCAAACCACATATGAGCTAATTCATGGCAGATTACATTAACAACATTGCGCTTATCAATAATAGAGTTGTTGCGATCATCATAAAGAAGTCTTGTTTCTCTAAAAGTCACTATACCCCAATTTTCCATAGCTCCAGATACAAAATCAGGGATAGCAACCATATCTATGCAAAGAATAGAGAGACAGAATAATTTAAGAATTAATTTATTGAAATCTTTAAATATTCATAACAAATCTATTTTTCCATTTTTAATAAATAAAATACCTCCTTTATATATATTGTACACTTACCGAGTTTCGGTAGTGGGTAATCTATTTGAAATAATTTTATATAATATTCTATAGCTTTCACACTAATTTGCAAAGGAAATTCTCTCTTTTCTTTTTCTTGAAGTTTTGTGCTGTAAATACTGACTGGAAATTCTCGGCCTTTTAATCCTTTTGCTGTCATTTTCAATTTTTCCATGTCACTAATAATAAAACAGGCTAGATATGTTGACATGGGTACAGTTTTTGCAAATGTTGTTGTCATTAGATTATTTTTTGGTTTATTATATTCTATATTCTAAAACAGAAAAATAATTTCACACTAAGGATTAAAAGGATTTAAAGGATTTAAAATAATTTTTTTTGGAAGGCAATTAATATTGGCAATTAATATTGCTTAAAAAGATTTGCATACCTCTATGTTCATATTGGATAAAGCATGATAGTTGTCCTCCATAGGACAAACTAATTTTACTGAAAATTCTGCCTTAAAATTAGGTTCATCAAAACATGGAAAAGCTTGTCTAGCATACGTTGGTTCAAACTTAGTAGTAGCCATATATCTGTCAATATAAAATGTAGAAAATTATATTTATAATATGCACTTTGTCATTTCACAGTATTTAAATAGAAACTGATTAAATGTATTGTAATGTTTGTATATATCTATTGATGTAACAACAAGTTATTTGTTAATAATATTACTTGGTATGTTTTTTTATTTTCCTACCTTTCTTTACTATCATACTGATATGTGCTGGAATAAAATCCAACTATTTTATTTTTAAGACTTCCATCAAATTCTAGGCTCAAATTATATAATCCTGATTTAAGATCTGTTTTAGTTGATATCACAAAAATTTCATATTTTGAAGGATTGCTGATAGAAGAGATTTTAATTTCATAATCTTCTTCTAGACCATAAGTTTTTAATTCCACAGTTGTAATATTAAGGTCCTTTTGATGAAGAGCTATGGTCCTTCTATCATCAAGGACATCAATAAGGATAGTCACTTTTCCAGAAAATGTTTTTTGTTTGAGTTTTGGATGCAAGAAGAGATCATATTGTATAGGCTTCACTTCTTTTGGCAACCTAAAGCTTTCATACTTATCAGTCATTGTATGCTTGTTCAAATCTAAAAAAAATGGAGCTTATTATTTTCAGAGATATACATAACATATTATACATGTAAATATTAGTGTGTAATCTAAAAAATGGCAATTTCTATTTAATTTGTATTGTTAATCTCACACAATTAATTGATACAATTAACGAGGGAATGTAAAGTCGATTTTTTTGTAACAAGAGTCGACTACTGATTGAAACTAGAAGTTAAAGAGGAACATGTGAAGAACAGTACATTTTCAGAAAGCGATCAATGAGAATTGTTTATGATATAATATTTAGAACTGATTTATTGCACAAATTATCATGTAAAATAACGTGCCATCATATGCAAAGTGTCATTTTGTAACACGCGATAAGCTGATAAGATCAGCTGATCACGAAGCTGAAGCGATTAATCCGCTCACTCGTTTAAATTTAAATAACTATATATAATTAATAATTGAACTTTGAATTTTTGCCATAACAAAAAGCTCTATTTGACATTATGGAAGTAATCTCTTATAAGAATTTATTGATCACATGTATATCTGTAATATTCGATTAAAATTAAAATTAAATAGTTCGATTAAATAATTTTGTTGATAAACTCTTCTGAAGAATTAGTACAATGTCAAGTAATTGTCAACGAAATGTATGTTTGGAGCAAGTTCAAGATGTGGAACTTTAGAAATGTATTATAAAAATTCTTAAGATAAATATATATATATATATTTATTTATTTATTTTCTATTATATTTTCTTAAAATTATGTGCCTCGAATCTAGGTAAAAAAAATTAAAAAGGAAGATATAAATTAATCTATCCATCGCTGTGAGAAACTGTTAGGCAGCAGTAATATGTTTGTCTTCCAGAATCCTAAAGGTCACGATACATAACAAAATTTTGGTCATACGATCATTCCATACATACTGTAATTGATTGATTCATGTCCTAAAATTTTTTACGTGTTATAATCTTGAAGTTTAAAAAAAAACTTTTGTCACTGTTTAAAATAATATTCGGAAAACAACTGAATACATCTGCAAGTATAAGTATACGCTTTTAAATTTACCGCCAAGCGATCACGAGACTTGCTGCATCATCAGACCCGCAATCAGCTGGTCGCTGCTTGTGTAAATAAAAAGTTGCGCAAGTATAGGGAGTGCAAAATAGTTTGCTAAACGCATTATGATCATAGCGAGCAGCTACTATTGTTGTTTCGAATGGAGGGAGTTTGAAATACAGGTAAAATTAATAAGAGAAACATTGTAATTTACATATTGTAACAGAAAATTCTTTATATTCTTACCGTATCGATAATTCGTCGCCTCGACAGCCTGATTCAGTAAAATGACCAACGTCGCCAAGCAGATGCAAATTAAACTCAGAATAAAGCAAGCGCCGCAAGTGAAGCAAAGGAGTGCGGAAGTGATGTTTTTATAACGGAATAATTTTGTTGCCGTCGACGATGCTGTCTCAGGACGATGTGCGCCGCCTTTCGACTGATTCCCAACTTTGTTATCATCCATCGGATAGCACACGACGGGGGATGCCGCGTAATTTAATTGCGTGTAATTCACCACATCAAGCGTCAAGCAAACAGCTCTTAATACTCAACGAAAAACCTATCAACAGTAAAAGATACAATTGAAATACATGTCAAAGACTAAAAACGCACAATTAAAATGCATGTCAAAGAATAAAAAAACGCAACTGTAGAAAGAAAAAGAGAGAAAATTCTCAGGATTTTTAGATTGTCCAAAATAATCGATCTTGATAATGTTATGGTTGAAAAAATTCGTAAAAAATTAAATTGACAAGAATATATTATTTTTTTATTTTAAATAAAATAAAAATTTTATGTGAGCTCGTTTTCTCTCGTGTCTGTGAAGCTGGCACGACAATCTATAAATTTAAAAAAAATACTAAGAATTCTGATAGCAGTTTTCATTGTTCTACAGTTCCTGATAAAAATTAAAAAGAGTTCCATTCTTTATATTAAAAATTCGAAAAAATGTCGTGCTTCACGAATCTGGAAAGCTCGATTTTTTAATATAAAGAATGCGGAACTCTTTCTAATTTTTCAGGAACTGTAGAACTATGAAAAGTGCTATCAGAGCTTTTAATATTCTTTTGAGATTCGTAGATTGTCTCGTGCTTGCTTCACACAGATATTTTTCTCTCACAAAAAGAATTAAATTTAATTAAATTAAGTTATTTAAATCAGTACAAACAAAAGAGGCCAAATGTCTGTATGATATTTGAATACATTATTCGTAGTATTTATTCTCAACAGAAGTTTTTTCTTCGACTCTGCTTCAACTAATTATTCATTCAATTATTCATTGTCCAGATTTAAAATTTAGTAATTTTTATTTTCTGTTTACAATCTCAATTTACTTTAATTTTGAATAAAATTAAAGAAAGAAAGAGAAAAAGAAGGAAAGAGAAAGAAAGACATACATGGTGTAATAATATTAATTAATAAGTACTTTTGCATATGTTTGGCAACATATAATTAACTAACATAGATCTCTTCTCATTTCTCGGCATAATAATATTAATGATTAATTATATAAATATTTTTGCATTACACATATTTGGTAACACCTTGCTTTTTACTCCAACTTTCGAGGTGTATACTTTTGCAGTCAATGGCGATACAAATTCTCTTGTTTTAATGATTTCTTATAAAAAACTTATCGCAATTAAAATATACAGGACTGTAATCTTCATTATACTATAGTTGATTAGAAGAAAATAATGTGCAATTTATAGCACACGTATATGTTTCACGGGTATAAATTACATACACATTTATATTAAATTTTTTGTCGCATTATTTTTTCATTTATATTAAATTTCAAATTTCTTGTCGTATTATTTTTTCACCACGAGATTAAGTATTTTTCTTCACGAAGTTTAAATGTCTTGTTAAAAGAACAATATACACATGTACGCATCATTTCATGAATTATTGTTTCAATTCATTTTTCATATATATATATAAAATATGTTACTGTTGATCTTAAACTTATACGAATTAAATAGCGTAAAACTTTTACCTAAACGCTCTCAAAGAATCAGGCGGTGTTATGTGCAATATATCAGGTAGTTACGACACAAAATCCATTTCGTTTATTCTCACTTTCTTGACATTGTGATATGACTTCTTCCACTTTCGCCTTCGAATTATTTCATCAACGCGCAATAACTTATTTTAACATAACGATTATCGTGGAAAATCGATGCAATTTTACGATTGCAGCTGCTCTTATCACTGCGTCCTGTACGTCTGAAAAATGTCACACTAAATGTCGCCTAAAAGTTTTGCGCGACAGCGATCCGACTACTTTTAGTATCTCTATCGACTTTCACCTTTTATGTCCTTCGTTTTAATGCCACTTTCAGAGTAGTCAAAGTGATCGTATAACTTATTTTGCTACAACAGTACTGATGTATAGTTTTTAATTTATGGATTAGTAATATTAAAAAAAATATATTATATGAAAACATAATATGAGAATGATATGTTGATATAATTATCAATATATTAGTCTACGTATAAATTTTGGGAATTTTATCTGTTTCAATTATCATCGAATTATCCTGCAAATTATTATTTCTAATAAAAATATGAGAATGATTTTCTTCCTTTGTTGAGAATCAACATCAGAATATTCGAAATGGTTTTTTTTACGCATTTTTTCCCCATTTTCAAAACTGCTAATACTAATTTATAAAGCAGCTGCCTTTTATACGTTATTAAAAATAAATCTGATCTTATCACAGTCGACAATGTATCTCTTCTCTTGAAATTTCGGTGTGAAATCTAAAAGATTTTTATTCATCCTTTATATTATATGAAGGATTTACTTCACATTTCTCTCGTGAAGATTCTTCCAAAATCTAATGATTTAAAAATTTCCGGTTGAAAATAAAGATATGAGACAATATTTAAAAAGAAATCTCTGCTCCTCTTCTTTTTTCTTTGAGTTCTGATTAGCGATTATTTTTTGATACGTTTTTCCTTATGTTAAATGTTTCGCATAAATTTCTTTTCTGCACAATAAACTTAAGCACAATTGAGAGTATTCTTGAAATAAGAGATTCGCGAAAATATCTCTCAACTAACAATAAGAATTTTTCATTCCGTTTCGCGCTTGGATCTCTTCTTCGTATGATCATCCAATAGAAACTGCGCGCCCAACCGCCATTGACGTAAGCTCGTACAAGAGTCGATTTTGTTACGAAAATCGCTCTTAATTGGACATGACGCAGCGTGACACGGCCGACTTGCATTCGAATTCGCGAGCAATTGAATCGAATTAACCGTCGCGTACGCATACGTTCATTAACATTCATCGAAATTGATGCAATTAGCGATCCCCGGCTGCGAGGTAAAATAAGTGGAGCGCACCCACACTATATGTATTTTCGACAGCTTAATTAAGAACATCTGATTCATTCACATCATTGCATTGTGTAAATATATGAATGAAACATATCACATATTTATGAATTTATGAATGAAACGCAAGAACTATCGCAACATCGCATATATTATACATTTAAAAAATTAAGATAGAATAAAAATTTACAATTTTAATGAAATATTTTACGTGAGAAAATAAATTTTTAATTAAATGTTATATCAATTTTAAATAGCAAAATAACATTAAATAGATATTTATGCAAATCTAGTTGAATCGTAAACATATCAAATATTAACAGGAAGTTACTGCATTATTGATGGAGTTCATGATATACTGTGCAATTAAGATCAATATCCTAAGCAATAATGCGATTACTTAATCGGTGTAATTTGCTTTCTCATCACTTGCGCTGTGGACGCACTATATATAAACCCACAACGTTTATATCTTATAAATCTTTGCGATAGGATCTCGCATAAAGAGAGTTGCGAGAATATAAACAACTTGTTACATACATCCGGCGAAAATCATTGCAAGAATCATAAAACATTCATGGCAAACTTTCGGCAAACATTGTCGAAGCTGCACACACATTGGAACGTTATCGCGAATTACAAATACTGCAATGCACGATCGAGCGATTCCAGGTGGTATGCAACGAAGATCTAAAAACAGAAATTTCACAACTCAAAGTTACATAAATGCGAATGTCGCAAAGGTGCGACCCATTCTAGGAATCTTTGTGATTAAATAAAGCAATTATTAGCACTATACAAAGAGTACATGCAATCTTTAAAAATAAAAATTGTAATACCATCAATAGGATCGAGTAATAAATAATTAAATTATTAGAAACGAAATTAGTAAGTCTATCAATTTACACACACGCACATTTATACATAAAACCATGACAAATGTAACAGTATCAATTTGATGATATATCAGTTTTAAAATTTGGTATATCAATAACAATCATTTATTTGTATTATAAATACAATATAAATATATCGATATTGTCTTAGCAATATCTACATGTGAAACAAGACATGTAAATATGATAAAGTATTGTTAATTCTAACGCATTAATTCTAATCTTTATCTCATTTATATAATTATAAGTCACCTTATTTTTTCCCCTACAAACTATGTTTTTAAAATTTATAAAACACCACAGATCCGTGTTAAAAATGAAAAATGATTGAAATGTAATGGAAGTGCCAAATTATGTTATTTTCTTGATATAAAAATTGTGACTTCTCGCAAGAATCTCGTACTTGGATTATATAATACATATAATCTATGAATTTATCAAACAGTTTCAACCGTAGGGGAGGATTCTATGTCATCACAGATGTAAGTAGATACACGCGCGCACATATATATATATATATATATATATATATATATATATATATACATGTATATATAATTTACTGGTACAAGATAATTACAAATTCAAAAATGTATAAAATCGGGCATGTTATTTACTATGATGTAAAAAATCTCGTAAACCTATAAACCAAAAGGTAAAAAAATTGAGAAAAATTAATAAGGCAGAGTAAATTTTGCGAATTTTTGATCACAATCTTTTGAGCACAATCTTGAAATTCTTATTAATTCTTAATCACAAAATTATACGATTCTGTTCACACAATATGTTTCAATATCTAAAAGATAATACGGAATTAATATGCATCTTTTTTTTATAATCGACAAATATACAGATTCACAAAAATCCATGTGACTACATAAGTAGATTACATTAGACATTAAGAAGATTCATTCGTGCAAGATTATAAGATCCTTATCACAATGGACTTTGTGAATATAATATTTATTATTAATCGATTAATCTATTTATGCCCGTTTTGCTCATTTGTTATAACTAATCGTTATGATAAAAGGATGCGGAGATTTTAATTGCGTGTCACGCAATTGGCATTACGCGTTCGAACAATGCACTTTCGTAACGATTACTTTGCGAAATCATTACTCGAGGCCGCGTCATCGGACTTAAATCCAGCATATGGCGATTATTTACGGAAGACAAAATTCGGATCTGCGTCACGCAATTTCTTTCTCTTTCTCTCTTTCTCGAATCGCTCATTAATTACATAAATAACGTACAGCGATTGCCGTCGTATCATCTATGGAGTTGATTATATCAGAGTCGACTGTCAATCACTGATTTCTAATGCATCTCTATTTTACATCTCTGGAAATAATTTTGCGCGCGCGCAACTACGACTGAAATATTACTGCGATGTGATATTAATATTATATTATCATAATATTGATAAACATGATAACGCCAAGGATAGCACTATACAGTGGAAAGAATATATAATTTATGCTATTCAACTAAGAATGACATAAATCTATAATTAAAAAAATCTTTTCTTCGATGCACTTTTTTGAAATGCATATTTTTTATACAACGAATTTATCTTATTTTTGTAATATTAAATTAACTTCAATTGTTGTTAATACATTCGTGACAGTCACAAGAAGAAATATAGAAAAAAATAATGATTCGTGTCGCGGTACCAGGAAAGCGAAAGTAATATGGTATCTTTAGCGTCATTATGTTGAAAGAAATCAGGAGTCCATTAAAACACGATATGAAAATTTACTAATTATAATCGCGTTTATATACAAAATTAATGTGCGATTTTGGTACTCATCTACATGATTAATAGTCGTTAAAACTTGAAATTGTTAACTGTCCCTCATATGTTTACGAATTTTTTATCATCTTAATAATTTCCGCTTTTTTATAAAGTGTAATAAATGGTTTTACGCCCATTACTGATTATTTTTAAGCTTTCTATTAAACTATACTCGATACTATTACAACAATATTAAAAATTGATTATGTTCTTTCGCATTTTAGTCATTAAAGAATTGACACGAGACAGTTTATTAGTTTGTATCGAGATAATTTTGAAGCAATCTTGATACAAATTAATACGAAAGTTAGTTATTCAGAAGGCCACAAATGAATTTGATTCCTAGGTACATAATGATTGTATGAAACGCCAGCACGCTAATTCGCCGATCAATTATTTTGAGCGACTCGCTCGCATTAGATTAATTATAAATACGCCATGTCTTGTATATATCATTCTTGAGTACGACGACTTACGTGTGATAATATATAGAGTTTCAGTATTTTATTTATGTACCTTTTGATTAATTTGAAATATATTTTTCCTTGAAAATATTATAAGGATTAGAAATTTTCAACCTTCAAAATTAAAGTTATGTTTATGTAATTAATTCTTACAAATTTATTCTCGAATTTGAAATCCATTTAGACTAAATGGAGAATAAGATTACATTTTAAAACCTTAATTCTTAAAAAGTGTTTTCCTATTCAATTATATAAAAATTATTTATTTCTTAATATTATTTTTAAGAAAAATGCAAATCTTTAAGATATATCAAATAATACATAAAAAATAGTTGTGTAAATCCAGTCGAAAATAATCTAATTTTATATACCTTTCGAAAGTTCAATAGATTTTTTGACAGAGTCGAGCTTTTTTAAACGAACACTATTTCAAAACCATATAGAAGGCGCTCTTTGTGGTTAGATCCCCGATTGAAAACTCTTTGATCGATCGATCCTAAAGTTTGGTCAATTTGAGAAGAAGTCGACTCTTAAGATTTTTTTCTCATTTTTTTGTAAGTCGAATTCGTAATATTTTTCAACTTGAAGAAAGGAACAATGTAACAATATATGAAAAATAATATACAATTATATAAATATTAATTGACGTTAGTAAAACGATTGATTACTCTTCTTTGGGTGATTATTTTCTTATATAGCAATGATTTTCTTGCATAATTTTACAGCGAACGTGTGCATTCGACTAAGATGTCTTATATAATTGGTACACATGCAATTTTTTGTACATATTTTTATATGTTGTTTTTTATGTAGTTTTGTATGTTATATAAATTTGCAATTATAATTTTACAATTATATAATTTGCAATTCAATTTTTGCATTTATATTTTTGCAATTATATAGTTTTAAAATTCTCGTATACAAAAAACTAATCAATGCAAAATTATGTAACTATAAAAAATGTGATCTAACATAAAATAGTATTAAATTAGAATTGTAGATTGGAATAATTATAGATATAGATATTTATAGATATAAAAAGAGTAATTAGTAGTAGTTCTGTTCAAAACATTAAAAAAATTTCGCTTTACATTTTGTCACAATAAACGTCGCATTTCCATCGGCTGCATAATTTACAAGAGAATTATTTGAAAAGGAATAAAATCAATTTGTTGCCATTGTTGTCATCAATTTTTCGACACTAGTGATCGGCTTATATAACTTCGTTAAATATTTGCAATTACACATGTTTTATGCAAATCCGGCTCGAAACCAGAAAGGCCGGATCTTGTAACTAATCGCTCTTGTTGATTATCTCGACTTTTTGTATGTCTTCAGCAGCCATATCGGTATCTCCCCAACCCCATATAGCAGGACCATCGTCCGTATGATGATGTGTATTGTGATGGTCAGTTGTTCGCTCATACCTCGAACCATCACCTGTTCTGGCAGCGCGTTTCTTCACCATAGTGTACGATACGGTTTTCAAATCGTATGCCCAGCCAATCCAGGCAAAGAAGTCGATGATGGCAGTAGTAAAATTGGTGCGATAGTTACCCAGTTCAGCAGCTTTGTAATCCCATGGGAAAACATGATGATAATTATGCCAACCTTCACCCATGGCGCTGATACCGACGCTGATGCTGTCGGTGGGACTGATGGTGCTGTAAAAAAAAAGATTACAACAATAGCATGTATTCCTAGTTCCATTTACATTATTTAGGTATAAAATCATCAAACAAATCCGATAAAAATGTGACATTTATCGACAACAAAAAATGTAAAGCAAGATTTTTTTAATGTTTTGAACAGAACTACTACCAATTACTTTTCATATATCTATAATAATTATTCCAATCTACAATTCTAATTTAATATTATTTTATGTTATATTTTTTATAGTTGCGTAATTTTGCATTATGAATTATTTATTCCATCTACAATCAATAATTATTCCAATCATAATAACTATTCCACTCCACAATTCTAATTTAGTATTATTTTATGTTATATTTTTTATAGTTGAGTAATTTTGTATTATGAATTATTTATTTCTATACGAGAATTTTAAAATAACTTTTTATGTAAATTTATGTAAATTTATATAATGATGTAGTGGATCTTACTCACTTGTCATACGGTTTCATGCCCCAGATGTGAGCTGCAGAATTCACCAGCCAAGTCAGGTTCAACGAAAGTGTGTATCTAAAGAGGGTAGCGTACCACGCATACATAGGTTTCTCGTTCCAGAAGTGGCACGGCACCCAGGTGGGCAATAGGAAGCAGAAGAGCGGCATCAGGACAATATACAGTCTGTAAAATGTAAAAACTTATTCGACGATGTAGGACAATAATCTTTTACGAAATATATATTTCAATGCTCGACACATTTCGTTGATTAATTTTTTTAAAGAACAATATTTATTTTAGTGATGAGTTATCGTACCTACGTTGCCATACGACAACGGGATCCTTCTCGAGATCGCTCATGTCGACTGTGGCACCCTTATTAATGACATCCGGATGTTTGCGAACCATAAGCCAACCCATATGCGAAAAAAAGAAACCTCTCTGCGCATTATGCGGATCGGCGTCCGTATCTGTGAATTTATGGTGAACTCTATGATCCCTCACCCACTCATAAATGTGATTCTGCGAAATATAAGTAGATAATTAAATAACAATCATAATAACAAAATAATTCAAAAAGAGTTTCTCTATTAAATGCTTTCTTGAATAAATAAAAATAATAAATTATATTTTGTTTATTTTTAATACTTAATATATTTAAACATGTGATAATAATTAACATTGGAAAATTTACTTGAAAAGCCATTGTCTGAAAAATCATAAGAATGACTCTCATTGGCCATTTTGCTTTATAAGACCGATGTGCCCATAATCTGTGCGCACCTCCTGTAACACCAATAGCTGCGAGAAGCGCGACTATGATAGCTGAAAAAAAATGATAAATAAAATAAAATTTGACGACACAATGAGATCTTTTAAAAGTATCAAGCGACTTACAATTATTATTATTATTATTTTTATTATAATTATATTACCAGTTTTTGCGCTATCTATTTATTATATTATTTATTCCCATTAATCGGTATTCGTCGGTTGTAATTAAGAATAACGATTAATCAGATATGAGATTTTTCAAAGATAGCAACCCAGATAGCCAAATGCAATGAGGTTGCTGTCATGTTGCCAATAATTATTGAAGCAACTAATTTTAACAAACTAGAGACAAGGTGAGACAGCATTATGTCTGTTACGTGGAACTCACATGAATTCATGTGCTAACAACAAATTAATTGCAATGTGTCAATATATTGACATGTTGTAGACAACGTAATATACCAATATTGCAGACCATTTGCTTCGTTAATTATTTGCATATAGAAGCAGACATATAGCTGCATTCGTAACGTATTCTATCTCGATGTCAGCAAGTATACTGCAAATATATAATAATACATGCGATGCATTTGTGTGCAGAATATGTCATATCAAGCTTGGCTATCTGGGAAGTGATTATTTATTTCTTATAATTATGCAATTCTCGCAATTATTTATTTCTTATAATTATGTAACATGGAAATTACCAATTCATTACACGTTATTCATTTTTATTATCTTTGCAAATTGATTGTAATTAAAAGAAAAAATTAAATATATATAGATATTTGAAAAGATATGTATAAATAGAACATACCCCATAGAAATGTGTAACCTTTGGCAGCCACAATTAAAATATACAATCCGTATAGCGCACCGATATGAAGATAAAGAAAAGCTATCACGTTTCTCCAAACGATCTTCCATTGATATTTAGGTTTTGAGTTTTGTATCTTTTGCAGTGACAGTTTTTGCGTTGTTGTTTTCTCTGTCGCGTTTTTCTTCTGCGATACATCTTGCTGGGAAGCTTCGAGGAATAAAGTTGCTGAATTACCGAATAAATTCGGCGCCATGTTGCTGAAATATCTGCAATGGATATCTATCATTGTAAAATGGAAACAAAAACTATGTTCTTTTGTGCCACTTGACGATATGTTAAAAATATGTTTGCAATTTTTTACTTATCCATTATAATAATATAAAAAATTAATATGTTACATTTTTTATGCTCTTAAAATATTTTGTCGAATTAAAATACTCAAAGAAAAATCTTTACGGAACATATATATAATTCAAACACATTGGTAACATACTGATGTATAGAATTTTAAGCAAGCAGTTTTTAAAAGAAAATAAAGAGCTCTCAAGCTTTGAGAAACCTATTTGCAAGACTAAAATTTGTGTAAGAATCAACAATCTATAGATTATATTGTAAAACATAATTAGTTGTAAAATATGCGACGTATTAAATTAAAAAAGTCATTACTTGGCCTATTGAATCACTAATAATAACTTTGCCTTTTTATCTGGATATCATAAAAGTATTCAGTACATTTTAGTCAAATTTTGTCTCGATTGAATACACAATCACGTTTATTTTGCATGCAAATAACCATGTATTTCTGCGGCATAATATTATTTATGGCTGAAAAGAATATGAGAAAATTGGTGCCTCATCCTTTTAATGATATTTATGTTCTTATATAATAATATATCATAATGATTTTTCATATATATTTAAATATATTAAATAATCAATATTTTAAAATAATAATAAACAATCTTCTCTTTGCAATGCATTTTGGCAAGATAATGTAAAGATTAAACTTCCACATATATATTTTATTATTCGCATGTTATTTCATTGGTTATACAAATAATAGACGACTAATAATAGACGTATATGAGCGAAATATCAATGTAAACCTCAAAATTCTTCCGCTTATTATGCGGACATTCCGCTTTTGCTTCTTCTCTTTTATTGCCACATATACTTGTAAAATAACAGGACAGTATTTCCATTGTCACGTCGCCATTAGTCAAAGATTAACGGCTCTTTGATGGCTTTCGACGTACATTATGTACAACGTGTAACGATCTCGTTATGGCTTTTCAGGACATTGTGCGCGGTTAATATGCCATATATAAACGTGTGGAAAGTGTGCGCGTGGAAAAGAGAATTTTTTAAACTTTGAGCGCTTCGACTTTCGACACATCAAAGAAACGTCCGTGGTCTATCTCGTGAGAATGACACTTCTGAATTGTGCACGAAGCGAAGTGCGGTCGAGAATGCTATGATGTCGACGAGGGTAACGATCCTTGACGATGAAGAAGCGGATTGTTGCACCAGAGTAGTCTGGTAATCATCAGTTACATTATATTAACGCGCAATATTATTGCGATTTAGCGAGAAACAAACAATTTCCATCCTATTATTTCATTTTCGTAGAAACGTTATGATCAATTAGAGAATGGTAAATCCTTTCAAATATTGCATTCATCTCAAATATTGCATGAGATTTGAAGACTCAACCATTAATATTGTTACATCACCAATTTACTGGGAGTAACTTTTAATAAAGCTAATATTATAAACCGCAAATATTAACGAAATACTGCAGCTAATATAAAATCCCTAATCACACAGAAGAAGCGGAAACGAGTTTCGATGGCTAATTCTAGAATTAATTGTAGCGAGAAAATTCAGATAAGATGCCTCGAAGTATAAAATAAATATTGCTAAATGCGCTTTCATGTTTTTGTTACGTTTTACGGCTAATTACGCATAAACTAGTCGTTTCTCCTTTCCGTTCTGCGACCCTGACGACGTGAAGACGACGCGAATTATGTAGGTGCCCCACTTCTAAATGTTCCTTTCTTTCGCCTCTGCATTCTCTCGTTGAGAGTCAACATAACTTAACGGGACTTGATTCGCGATGAACGTTTATATCGAGAAGTATGCATCCAAAAAGTTTAATCATTGAATTAATCGATGATTAAACATTAACACATGTATTCTATGTACATGTATACCATACATCTGATAAGTTCATCTATAAAATATTATTATTAGACTTTCTTGAAACACTTTATTAGAATTTATTTATAAAATTATAAGGTATTATTGATTAAATAGAAAGTAGATTATGGATTCGAGAAACATAATTTTCTCTTCAAAACATTTTTGACTACAAACTGATCTCCTTTACTTTCTTCAGAATGTCGATAGATGAAGTAGTTCAAAGTTTCTTGTGAAACGTTTATCAGAAAAAGAAATTAAATTTCTATAATGAAATCAAACAGGATCTACGTCGCAAAACATTAAAATTACAAAGTTAGATAGTTACTTTCATTATCGTTCGATTGTCATCGCACAATCATTGAAACAATTTTAGAAGAATTAATTGATATGGAATATTTATAGATTTTGTTTACATGTGCATAATATAATATTAATCCTCTTAATAATACAATAAATAAATGAAAATATACATCTTTACAATTTTTTCTAATATTAAACAATATATATTTGATATTAGAAAAAATTATAGAAAATATAGATATTTTAAAGCGATAGATGTTGAATCATCAATCTACATTAACTCCACAACTGCTCTTATAAAACATTTATAAAATCAAGAATCAATTTTTATTATTTTTTATATAAACAATGATATCTACGAAAATGTTTAAATATATATAATAAATAGTGGCACAGTATACTTTAATATTTTACTGAAATTTTTATCTATATAAATTTTTTGATACTTTTTTGATTGTCATTTATTGTGAAAATATGATTTTGGCTGTCAAACTTTTGAAGAAATATTTTATTTTTTTAAAAATACTTTTAATCCAGATTTATAAAAAAATTAAGTTTCATTCCTTTCTCATCTACAAATATCTGTTAGTTCAAACAAAAGATATTCTAAATATATTCTTTTATCAGTTTTAAGACAGAAAGAGAGAGAGAGAGAGAGAGGAATATGAAATATTATATATTACTCTCTATACACGCGCGCGAAGATGTTAAAAGTAAAAATTTAAATATTACCAAGATGAAAATATCCATTCGAGACAAAAATGCAACGGAAGCGAATAGTTGAATGATGCCAATATTAACGCTTTACCTGGAATAACTTAAGTCGATGTATTATTTCTAAAGAAATTTATGCTCTTTTTTGCTAACAGTATGTCATAAATTCTCATTTAACTACCCAATTTACGATGATAATATATATCATAGCTACATAGGGGGCTTTCAATTCCATGAAATTATCAAAGAGAAAAGCTTATAATTAATATAAGAATATTATGCATATTTTCGGATCTAAATAAAAGAATGAGAATAAACTAAAAAGGAATTTATTAGCTATGATAATCATTATCTATCATAGAATCAAAGAAGTTTTATATGAGTTATAATTCGCGATAAAATTGGAATAAAATTCATTTTATTACATTTGGCACGCAAGAGTGCCAAGGATCTTCTAGTAAAAGTGCTCGCGGCATGCCTTCAAAATGGTACATGATGTAGTTGAATAGAACACGTTCGAGGTACGGAGAAAGGAGACCAACGGAACAGAGTTGGTGAAACGAGGAAGAAACACGTAAGTAATGACGGCGCGCGCAAACAGGAACAGGTTCTTCGGAAAGCAGGCCAATGGCGTCTTTGAGGTCATTGCCAATCGTGGATCGAAATTCCTATTCTCACTTGATGGGCACGACGCGAGTCATCCAACCCGAGATCACGTAGCACTTTACGTTTTCGATTATAGGCCGAGCTGAGCCTCATAGTTTATGAAAAAAGTCACATACGAAAAACTTATAACAATTGTCACAATATGCGGAAAAAATTGAAAACTTGCGTGCAAGCACGCGCCTATTATTTTGTATTCCAGATGATTGAGAAGATGATATCTGTGTTTTTTTAAAAACAAAAACAATAAAAGAAAGATAGGGAGTTGATGAACTGAGAAAATTGCCGAGCAATCAAAAATTAAATATAAAAAGTTAAATCAAATGTAAAATATAAGAAGTGATTTTTTATTAAGTATTTAGATATTATTGATTATTGATAACGTATTCCATCCAATTTCCAATTAAAGATGAATAGAATACTCGCCAATAGTCAAAAGAAAGCAAAGGATGTTAAAGAGGAGCATGACCTACTAATTCCATGGTGTATGATGTCTTTTCTCGAGATTGAACGTATGCTGTTACACGTAGCATCGCGAATGACTATCGTGCTGACTAAGTTATCTTGAAGACGCGTCTATCCATTTTATACATGGTAAATTGAAAACATAGTGCAGTGGAAATGCAAAGGAAAGTGGGCCGAACGAAAAGAAAGTGATTCAGAACATTCTAGTACAGAAATAAATAAAAAATGTAAAATAAAATTGATTCATATCAGGTTTTTGAGAAAACTAATTTTGAAATTTTAAAAATTAGTAACATAGTTTTTTGAAGCTTTTTTAAACTTAATTGATTTTCAATTATTTTATGTTATATCTCATCAAATTCATTTCGAGAGATCGATTTTATTTATTAATATATATATATGCACAAGTGTAAAATAGTACAATATTTTATTTAATAAATATTACGTTCTACTACGATTCCTTTCTTGTGGAGTTGCAACAGTGATCATCTGATTGAAAGATAAAGGAAAATCATTCAGTAAATAAAGCCGTTTGCGACATGTAATTTGTTTACCTTCTCACCTTCAACATTTTATAATCAATTAGTAATTAGATTAATGAGTAACTGTGGAAAAACAAATAAATCAATGGTGAATCTTTTCCACAATTTCTAATTATAAGAGAAAAATAAAGATTGTAAAATATTGTAGAAAAATAATAACAGCAGATATCTGACCTAACAATAAGTTAAGTTAAATTTTCTTTCTTTGTTTAAAATATATTCTTTACATATGACTGACATTCAATATTAACTCCATATTTAGTTAAATCTACTTAGAAAAATTCAGAAACAAAAGGAAAATCAATGATAAAATTATTGAAGAGACCCTTTAGAATCTAATTATAGTAATATCTAATGATTAAAGAGACTATCAGAAAATAAGAATAAATCAATTACAAAAGAATTGATCGAAAAATATTTTGCAAATATTAATTCATGATCTAAATCATGAATTAATATTTAATTCAGTAAATGATCATTGAAGTAAAGTCTCCCCAAAAAAGAAGTATAAAAAAAGAAAAGTCATGAGAATCATACCATTCGCATCCCAGTGCAAAATTCAATGCTTATAGTATCAATATATCATCTTGGGTATGTTCTCGTGAGTCAACGAAAGATCAGAGTATCTTATATTGCCATGTTGCAAATATATCAACTTCTGTCTATTTTTTCTCTTAAATTAAATAAATTTTTTAATCATAAATTAACTTAGTAATCAATGTTTATCGAGTTTTCCATTTCCTTGCTTATCTTCTGACCCAGTAACCTACTTCTACTATCGATGATAGATAAAAATTCCTAATTCCATATACCTTTTTTATACATAACACACTTTTATTTGTTATTATTAATTTTAACTATATAAAATGATTGTAATCATCAGTCAGAACCTAAAAATTGGAATCACTCTTGTGTCGTTCTAATTAATAATCTTCGTATTAATATAATAACTACGAAACAAACATACATACATACGTACTAGAAGTTTAATCATCTAAATAATCATTTATCATTAAATATAAAAAAATCTCATGTACCGATTAAAAAAAATATTTTGTTCTAGTAATTTGTGAAGAAACTCAGATTTTTAAATAATTAAATTATTAAATTATTATTTACTCATTATTATTAAATTATTATCTACTCATTAATCTTCATTCTTTCTAAGGATCGTACTTGATCTTGTCCCGAGTAAAAGAGATTAAATTCTTTTATCGAAAGAGGATTTTTAAACGAATTTGAATAAACAGTGTAAGATCAACCAAAACGCTCATGTATCTCATTTATCTTTTTTAATCTTTACAATTCGCTCAACCCAAATCATTCGTCATGAATCGTCCAACTTCGCGATAATAATTTTTACTTTCTTTAACTCATTTTTCTTTAAGTAAAACAATTTAAGTAATTCACTATTATGTATAAGAATAATGTTACACTGTTATGTATAAGAATTATGATACATGATATAAGATTAAAATACAATTATTATATTAATAGAAAGGGTGTTTTAAATATTGTATAATTTTTTATTGGTATTTAAATAATCCATGTCCAGAAAAATTCGATAACATATAACACAAAGTTGTTAGAAAGTTAGTTGTTCGTTAGAAATTACTTAAAATTATAAAAGCGCGTAATATGTTATTGATTTAAATTTTCAAAATTTTCTGCAAAAACAAAGTCTAGAAAAAAAGTTTACTCTAAAAATTTTTTTGCATTTATTTTTGCATGAAGAATTATCTTTTTAGTTGTACGTTTTTCGATTCACTCATATATCGAAACTTTATATTTCCATTCAACAGTAATGTTCTTTTATACATAAAGTATAATAATCTAGAAGAATATAATCTTGGAAACAGGAATCTTCGAGAAGCAACGAAGAATTTTCTCATTGTTTCCCCTAACTTCCCTCTTTTATGTCGTTTATGTCCTTCACTATACATAACACGATTACGAGATCGCAAATTGCGTAAAGCAATGCGCGTGAAAATTACAGAACAAAGTCGGTACAATTGCATTTCGAATGTATCGTTGCGGTTTAGCTCATTTATTTTATCAACAAATCCAAACTGTCGTTCATGAATTATATATATTTGCGGCATTTGGGATATACTAAGAAAAAGAATATTATGTTTAAAAATTAATTGCAATTATTTTAATAAACGCTTTATTTTTGAAATAATTAATAAAGACTACGATAATATAAATGTATGAATAAGACGATAAGAATCAATATAACATATTAATGTATAACATATTAATGTGTATATATAATATATAATATATATTAATATATGTATGCATATCCAACGTGATAATTTTCACCATATAATAGATGACAGTCTAGTTTTTTTTATCAATATTTTATCTTTGTAACATTGTCTTTCTTTTTCCATTTCTCATAATTTTACTTTCAGTCGCACGAATTGCATACAAAAGAAACTCGAGCACATGTTGCAATGTAATTGCAATTGTGTTGCAGCGAAATTGCTCTCTCTCTCTCTCTCTTTCTCTCTCTCTCTCTTTCTCTCTCTCTCTCTCTCTCTCTCTCTCTCTCTCTCTTTCTCTCTCTCTCTTTCGTTTTAAACCGCTCTGCCGTTTTAATTCTTAACTGCCGCAATTTGCATTTTGTTATTGCATTTCGTCTCAAAACTGCACTAAGCTAATTGTACATAAAATATGTTAACAAGATTATTCCATTCAATAAAAAAGCTGTTGTATTTATTAAAAATGTGAAATTTCAATATCTAATGAAAATTCATATAAGCTTTCTCTTAGAAACTCTGATAAAAACACAATGTTGTTGCATGCTATGGATGATAGTTAGCATAATGATTTTAACAATGATAGTGGTAAATAAGAGAGAGAAAGAGAGAGAGAGAGAAAGAGACAGAGACAGATAGAGACAAATGTGCGTATATTATATAGTTAAAAATTACTTATTATGTAAGATTTTTTGTATGCTCCTGTTTTTTACTTGCCAAATTTTGAACGTTTGAGCAATTTGATCCGACTAACATAAGAAGTTTGATGTTCACGAATATTTTATCTCTTTCAATATAATGAAGATATTAAGTATTCAATCAACAATATATAAATAAAAAATAATGAAGCGAAATGTTTCAATTAATAAATGTTTGCATAAATTAACAAACTATGTTCTGGATATTTATTCTGTTAATTATGAGTTTTCAGAAAATCCTATTCCATTCTTATAAGCAAGACAACCGAAAGTGTGTCGTACAGAAGAGAGATGCATATGTTACAGAAATTTAAAAATCATTTATACATATATATTATAATATATAAATATATAATTTTTTGTGCGTCTAATTTTTGTTCATTGATATTTTGAACATCTGAATAGAACATCTGATCTAACTAATATAAGAGAAGTTCGATGCTCACAATTATACATTCCATCTTTCTGCGTAACGGACCTTGAATATATGGACAAAACCGACTAAGGGCAAAACATACTGAGAATGTCAACGTGTATACACAACGAAACGTTTCGGCGTTTACGTGACAATTTATGATTATACATGTATGTGCATAGCATGTGCTGTGTTTATAAGAAGTCTCCATAAGATTCTTTAATCCCGCTCTGATAAACAGGATAACAATTTAAGAAAGTATGCCATATAGAAGATTAATCTGCGCAACATATGGAAGAATTGAATATATGGAATATTTGAAAAGCATTAACGGAGAAAATAATCGCAGATTGTTACCGTGCGATTTTATTCCGAGTTGCAAAGTTTTGAATCTTCTAATCACTAGATGCAGTCGAAAATATGAAAAAATGGAAAGATATTACACGTTACATGTGTTTACATAGAGCATCATAAAATTATCACGATGATCTTACAGATTCTTCGACTGATTTCGAAATTTACTAATCAATATCTGTTCCAAGAAAATATCGAGCAGTAAAAGCAAAGTAAGCAGCAAAGTAAATTTACAAAGTCAATATTTGAAGAAGATTCAAACTAAAAAATTTCAAACAAAATTAAGATCAGATAAAAATGATTTTAGACTAATTAACAATAAATTTCAGGAGAAAAAATAGATACATTTTTTTTATTTAATCTAATAAGAATTTTTTAACAAATCTTTTATTTGTAGCTTGCAAACTTTTAAAATTGTAAATTTATATAAACAATAAAAACTAAAGAAGTAAATAATGATTGCGCTTTTATCGAACTATAAACTTTTCGATTTCAAAAACTTTTGGAAATTTCAGTTTCTTTAGGAAAAAAAAGTGCTTCGCATCTTTACAAATTAATTAATGTAGGAGATATAATTGTACATTGAAAATAATTACGTATTTCGAGTATCAATCTATATCAACGAAATTGTTCGACTATAGTTGCATAGTATATGTTGAAGCGAAAAATTTTCTAATTCGTTATTTTAAGAGCATTCGTTACTTGTCCATGGAAGGCGATAAATGGAATAGATGCTTAAAACTGCAGCGTATTGATAGTCAGTAACGAGAACTTTACTTTAAATATATATTCATATGAAAGAAGAAATAAAGAGAATGTATCAATAGATTTTACCATAAAATTTATAACCAATTATGTGTTCGTGTCAATATATTATTATAAACAATATCATTTATGATTATACCGTTGATTTTATTTAATTGTGATTTTTTTATTACAATCTATTATATGCAAATATTATTTAAAAAACATTATTTAACAATTAAATAATTTTAATTAACAAGTTGCCTCTCTTTCTCTCTTTCCCTTTTAGATTTTGGAGAGAAACATCTCAACGTTAACTATAAATTTTATTGATTGCTATCAATTTGTTATTAACAATCCAATATGCTCTTTATATCCGTTTAAAATGATAATTATACTCAAAAATGCAGTGCATTCTGTCACGCATTATGGCGTATTATAAATTCAAAACATCGGAAAAAATCGCGACGATAGAACAAAACGTTAGACAACTTACGAACAAATGTGAACGAAATTGCAGCTTACTTCCCGCGAGGATTACGATAGCGAGTTCGATCCTGGCTGCAGAGACTTGCGACGGTTCTTTCCCTGAATGAATGGTCCGATCTGGTAGAGAGTTCACTACAAAATAGCAAGATGCTGGAGCGTATGTTCCACTTATCAGCTTTGCGCTGTCTCGCGTAAAACGACAGCCGTCAACGAAACTTCCCCCTCCTTTTATCCTTCGTGATGGTTGTCCTAAAAAGCACGACTGCAAAAGGATGATTCCCCCTTCTCCCTAACTCTCACACTCTCACACGCGAAGCAAGCAGCTCCGGCGGAAATATCACAAAAATTAACAATATAGCGCAATTCGCTTTTTCGAAATCAATAGTTCGATTGTTAGAACGTTTTTCTCAATCTTGTGCTCTGAATTCGTGACCCAAAATTAATATTGCGCTTTCAATTGTCATTTGTCAATCGACAATTTGATTGTATGCAAATCACAGTTTGCAATTAGCAATGTCCGAGTTATCTGTATTTTCTCAATTTTGATTTTCTTCGTAATTCACATATCTTCCAGAGTGGAATAAAGCGAAAGGATCGTTGAAATTGATTTGCTGTCTTGGAAATTATTTTATCCACGCCCTACAACTGCGTTGGCTCTTTACTGCCTTTTACTATTTATTATTGATTTGTTAATATTTTTAGTCGAATTATTTAGCTGTTTTATAAATTCGATAATGAAAGTACAAAATATATTATTTACGAAATATATTATTTAGATTGATACATACATAAAGATTTAATATGGATCTTCGCGTGTTTTTCAATTTCGAAATTCGACGGAAACACAAAAACAGTGTTATTTAAAAATTCTACATAAGTAAAAATTACATTTATTCTTTTACAAATCCATGAAAAAGTTAACAACATACTATATAAATAATAGTTAATGTAACGACTGACACTATAATCCAGATCAGAAATGAAAGTTGCGTTTTGTGGTCTTCTTCTTCGATGAAAAGAAATCTCGATAAAGAAATATTGGAAACTTATATTTTTTATCATGCTCCGATATTTTGCATGCGAGATTTTCTTCGTACAATTTTATATCAATTTTGTAATTTATTTCTGTTTCATTATGGCCTTTAATATTTTTTTATAAATATGTTCTTGAAGATATTAAAAGACTATTTCTCATATCCGTTTGAAATCTATTGCCAGCAGATTACATAAGAAATGAATCAGGTAGGAATAGTAAAAAGATTTCTTATTATTTAAATATTAATACATTCGCGGACAGTTATTTGATTGGAGAGATTAGCAACAAATCTTTTTGTAGATACATTTATATAAACTTAGACGACATATGCTGTTTTTTCCGCGAACGTGTTAAAAATATATTTATAATATTGTACAATGAAAATATATATATAATATATTCATTGTGCAAAAATATTTTCAATATTTAAATAATAAGAAATCTTTATTATATTCACTCGATATATATTTCCGCAGGTTATTACAAATATTACCTATAATTATCAAATGCTATTTATAATTCAAAAATATTTTTTTTTAAAGAATATTTTAATTCTTTAACTACAGCTATAATAGGTGACAAATATGAATACATATCTGTAGTTAAAGGGTTAAACAATTAAATAATCAGATAATTGAATAATTCATTTAGATTATTTTTTTTATTGTTGGATTAAAAGTTTGTAATTGTTTTGATGACAATAAATTAGAAACCACAACATTAATTAATAAATAGACAGTAAGGAAATTTTCATATTCTAAGAAGAAAATTTTATTTTTTAAATTTGAGATTTTTTATTGCAATTTAAATAATATATATGTAGTAAGAAACATAAAGAAAATGCCTCGCAAGAATTCTCAGTGTGTTATTTCTCGTTTCTTCGATTTCAATACGGCTGCGGTGACTATTTAGGAACCTTAAATCATTTTTTTCCGTTACATCGAAAAAGAATTATCTCAATAAAGCGGTCGCGACGTTAAACCAAGTGAGAACGATTTCACATCCGTCAAACATTTGTTCTGCATAAATTACCAGTGCATTAGTCAATATTGAATTAGAGATAAAGAGATGGATTGTATAAAACTTCGTCAAGGTTGTCCTTTCCGGTTAAACTTCTGGCAGTGTCGCGTTAGATCTCATAAAATAAATTATTTATCTAACTAATAATTTATATCTCATAAAGACTTGATATATAGATAAAATATTATCACTATTATATTTACATATTCATTACCAGATATTATATAAAAATATGTTTTAAGATCTATATAGAGATTTAATTAATTTAATTTTTTCGGAAAATGTTAATATAAAGCAAAATATTAATAAAAATAAAAACTTTTGATATTATCAATAATTCTTTTAGTCATTTTAATAATTTTTTGCATTATTATACTATGGAATATATATGTGTAAGAAAAGTTTTAAAGTTTATTTTAATTCTACTTCGATTATTTTGTAAATACGTGTAGTATTGTGTAATGTGACTTGATATATTTGTGCTTGGCAGACAGCCGGAATACTGAATTTCGGAAAAATTTTATTAATATTAAAAGACACGTAGCATATAAAATATTTAATAATTCAGACACGTAATGCAAAAAAAATGAATAAACATAATAACAAGTAATATGTATAGTAAGCAAATAATTTGCTGTCATATGGATAGTATATTTAAAAAGTTCCAATGCGCGTGACAGAATGGATGCGTTCAGCAGAAAACTGCTGAACCTGATTGACATATATTTCTAATTTTGGTTGAACATAATAATATACGCTAATCAGATTTAGGAATTTTACAACAATTGAAAGCAGTTTTATCTGCTGAACGCAGCCAATGAATGTGACATTTTAAAACGTAAAATGTTAATTTTAATTGATGAAATAAGTAGTATTAAAATGTGAATTAAATTTTTTATAAATGAGAAAAATATTATGTAAAAGTATATGAGAAACATTAAATAATTAATGAAAATATACGAAAAATATTGAAATATATCTAAACAGATAATAAATAACGTGCAAAATCCGAGTATTACATGTTTCTTTCCTATTTTTTAAAGTTTTATAGAGAGAAAATACACTTATTTAATACCTATTTTTTAAAGTCTTATAAAGAAAAAATACACTTCATGATATACTTTCAACATTCTAAAGCAATTTTTATTTAAGTTTGTCATTATTGAAATTAATATAAAATGCAAAAGAAACGAATAGAAATGTCTTACTTTTAACAATGGACGCATAATTTGATTTATGACTAATACACAATATAATTCATCGCTAGCTGAATTTATTCATTTTATTCGTACTATTCAATTTTTTGCATTGAAATGGACGTAATATACTGATGAGATTTTCGAGAAATTCTAAACGCTCAAAATACGATTATAGAAAGAATTATGTTTTTTGAATTTTCATAAAATTCTTTAAAAATATATTAATAAAAACAAACAAACATTTACAAAAATTAACTCTTACGTTAGATAACATTAATCATATCAAGGAGCATTTTATTTAATATTGATTTATATTTGCCCAAATTAATTCGCATCATGAAAAGTTAATTAATCAGTACAACGTTTATATAGATACAGAGTAATCCGAAAGGAAATGCATACTGTATATATAGATCAAATTAATTAACTATGATATTCTCAACAATATCTGTGTAATTAATTAGATTTTGTAGTGGAATCACGCAAAAGTTTCTCGCACCGAAGTATGTACAAGTCACGCATATAATTGCATGTCGAATTGTGTCAGAATCAAGGTAAAAGTCCTCGATTCGCGTCACGATTGCCGATCGGCGAGTGAAAATAATCGTGATCGAGAGAATGAAAGGGAAACGAGTGCGCAGAAGGATTATAAAGGAACTCTAACTCTGCCGGTCGACGCAACCCTCTGCTATCACCTCGGGCAAGGGTTGCGCATCCCATCCCCGGAGGGTGTATATGCTCTCGTCGACGTCACGCGATTCCGATCTTTATACCACGCCGATTTCTCGCTCACTTAGCGAGAAGTGCATGCGCGAACGAATTGAGATGCTTCATCCGCGAAAAATATCAAGTAGAAATAGCAAAGATGATACAGTACCCGGATGGTGCCGGCTGGTCCGATTGATCCGCAGCGCCACTACTGCCATATCCAAGTCCACGGGGAAGAGGAATACTCGCCATTCTTTCGGTCGATAAGCAATGCCTGAGAGGAAAAGAGAAACGACGTGAACACACATGATTTTTAACTCGTTCTTTCAAAAATTTGAAATTACTCCAAAATTTTAAACTCGATTTAATTTTTCTTTAATCTGGATAAATTAATTTAAGTTTGTGAATTTTAATTTAGATTTTTATAAAATATACCTACACAAAGTGTGAAAAAAACTACAATCTTAATTTTAATTTTGATTTTAATTTTAACAAAAATTTAAATTTGAGACTAGATTGTTTTATTACTTTCAACTTTAATACTGATATATTTCAAATAAATTTTTAAATGTACTTGTAACCATTGCTGAAACGAGAATTATTTTAATGATTTTGAGAAAATCTGTAATAATTATTCGTGAATCAAAATTATGTCGAAGCAATTGTTACAATGTTAACTTTCGATCGGTGCTGCCACACGCGGAGTCTACAAATGGTAAATGCAAGATGATATAAGAAAAATTATATCAGCTTTCTTTTAATTATTTGAATAAATTAATTTGATATTTATTTGTGTTAATTACAATAATAAAAAATTACATTTAAAAAAATTACATTTTTAAATTAAACTTCGTCTTTATGAATATAATGACACAGTACTCTGAACAAACTAAAATATTTTAAAACTATTAGAGAGACTATTTTTCTTTAATGGCAGATTTTTTAACTAATTTAAAATTGATTTTTTTGTTAGCAAAAATGTTGAGTAAGATTATTTTTCATTATAATTTTTCCTTTTTTAAATATAAATTTAGTTAATGCTTTAATTTTCTAATTATTAATAATTATTTAAATCTAATTATTAATAATTATTAAAAATTATCGAAATTCCAGTATTTTAATTTTTAATATTTAACAATTTGACGGAACAAAGAAATTAGATTGACATTCTTGCGTCAAGTATAAAAATAAATAGTTACGGGGATTTGTATGTCAAAGACGTACAATTTTGTTTCAAAAGGTAGTCATGCTTAGTGAGCCAATTGTCGCATCGGCAATCGGATAATAATAGTGCACACTGATGCATTTTCACAAGTTCCCTGAACCTTTGCAATACGAGATACATGCAATATTGATTGAAACTATCATGTCATTCTTAATCTACGTCACGATGCACGCTATAATACCGACCACATATATCAATAAATAGATAAATAGATAAATCGATTTTTCTTTCAATTAAGTATATATTAGGTTTATCTTCTTGTTCGAAGTACAATTTATATTAAATATTATGCTTATATGTGTATTTTACAAACATAAGATATAATTTTTTCTTAATAAAATTAATGCAAGAAATTTTAATCATTTTATTAATTCAAGTATAATTTGAACATTAAATATCATCATGATTATATTTTAAATGGAAATTCTATTAATGTTTACTAAATTAAAAAGATGGAAGGATTTTGCTCCAATATGTAAATTTGCTCCAAATTTAAAAAAAAATTATAACTAGTAAAAATCTTCTCTTCAAAATTTAATGGATATAAAAATGCATAATTTGGGGAAAAATTATATATCTTAATTTATATAAGATAATATCATTAGAAAAAAAGAGTCATCTTTCTTTGATTACTCCAGAATTGTTTCGTGGCTTTAAAGGAATATGTTCGCTATGTGTAATACGTGGATGTCTTACAAGTAGTCGGGAATACAGGGGCATAATCAAACATTAAATATCTTCGTGTTTCAAATTAAAATTTTTAATTTTTACTTTAAAAATAAATGGAAAAATTGTGCTATATATTTACATCTCGTAAAGCTAAATTTAATGTTATGTTTTATATCTATTTTAATTTTTTTCCACATGTTTTACTCCAAAATGTGAACTTCTGTTCCAAAATTTAAAAAGCTTACAATTAGTAAAAATCTCTTTAAAATAATTTCAATGTATAAAAAGATATAAATTAAAAAAAAGAATTATATTTTAATTTGTATATCTTTAAAAAAAAAGAGTATCATCTTTCTTTCGCCGAATACTCCAAAATTGTTTCATGACTTCAAAAGAACGCGTTCGTATTTTAATCCATGCGTTAGTCTATACGTAATACCTGAGTGTCTTACAAGTAATCGAGAGTACAGGGGCATAATAAAGGTATTGAAAACGATGATGAATAAGTCATATCGTTTCTCTTATTCTCTATTTTTTATAATTTTTATTGTTTATTTTGATATGCACGAATGTGCAAATTCTTTTGATATATACATACTATATTTTAGAACTATATTTTAACCGTAATCTCTTCCTTCTTTCTTTTTTTTTATTGTTACTTGAACTCGTGTATTTTCATGGTGCGCCATCTGCAACAGAAGAGATAGGAATCCGGCTATGTCGGCGCCGATTACGATGCCGCTGGCAATGTTCCGAAACGGGGGATTGTGAAGCCGGCTTGTCGCTCAGTTTGCATTCGTGCGCGCGTCCTGTCGGAAGTCGACGCGGCTTTTCTCCGGAATTTTCTACCGGTGAGTATCGGCGCATTGGTGAAGACACTCTTATCAACAGCTTGCGATTTAATTCGATCCGTTTTTAAAACGCGCAAAAACACGGCGGCAAAAATCTCGAATACATGCGTGCGAGGCGATAGAATGAGAGAAATTGTATGTTTTTTTTTTTTTAAATTACGAGGGATATATCTCCGAGAGGGTGTCAAATTCGGAGTCTTTTAATCGCAGTGACGCCGCGAACGGACGGTCTTTAAACAGCTGATCGGCACGTGTCGCTAAAAACGATGATCCAATTTTGCGGATCGCTTCTTTGTTTATACATCATGCCCTACAAAAATTGACTCTTCATCCTTTAAACAACTGATGTCGTTGATGTTTGGAATTTCGCATACGTTTATAACGAGCAAGACGATACAACTACGTGCATTTGAGTTACGAATCCGAATAAAAACTGAACCAGAGATCTGAATCCGCGAGATGGATTTATCGTTACAGCGCGTTATCGTGAAGGATCCGTGATATCTTGTTAAGTCATACGAGAGAGGAAGAACAGGAAAGTCACGTTATATTCTGCCGGTAAGTGCGCCGCTCCCGGAATCTCGATTTGGATACAGTTAGATAGGGAATAAGATACAGTTAAGATTACATACGACGTACACTTGACAAATGCTGCAAATCGTTGAAATATTCGGATAATATTCACGCGTCATATCCGTTGAGGCATGATAGATGTTGCAATCGGCAAAAACATTTGCAGATTTTGAAATTATTAGATAGTTATATTTCAAGTCAATTATCTTATCTAAAGTTCGAGGAATGAATATCCCAGTAATTTATGTATTATATACAATTTATTTTCATGTTATTTCACATTTTTTCATGTAACTCGCTATTAACATGACACACATACACACACCGTGTATTTTAATGCGCTTAACAATTCGTCGTTTATGTATCGGCAGGTAAGACATGAAAGGTACGCATGAAAGAGAGATTAAGATATATCTAGTAATCCCACAAAGTAAACTCGGCGCAAATGAGGGATGTTTCTCCGTATATATTCGAAATTGCAAATGACATAATAAGTAAACATTGTCGACCGTTTAACCATTCCATAAATCATCCATTACGGCGAATCGAGGCATGCCTGACGTCAGACTTCTTAACGACCCTAAATTGTAATATTCACTAGGAATTTTAATCGCAATAAATAATTAAAGTCAAGTGAGATTCTTAAACTTCCTCTTGTTTCTTTCTATCATTTTGTCTTTATAGAGGAACGAAAGATCAATCAAATCTCAGTTAATTTTAATTCAATGCACACAATCATGTCATGGCTACACAATTCATATTTCATGAATATCTGCCAGTCTAAAAGATTAATATTATTTTAATAATATTAGACCGTTATTAAGGTCCTCCTTTGTTTTAAGTTTAGCGTTTATATTTTTATAAGTTGTGTAATATTGAAAAGGATCTGTAGAAGATTGAAACGTGCGTTTGTCTGTCTGTTAAAATGTATGTTTTAATAATTTTTTTGCTCTGACAGATTTTTGCTTATTAAATCACTTTTCAACTTTAGTGCTCTGTCTTTGCGTTTTTAACTCTTAATTACTATTTTGTACTACCACCCATCACGGTCCAAAAGCCTTTTCTTTTTTAAATTTGTATTATTACTATACGGACTGTTAACCCTTCTTATTTTTAATTTTTAATATTATTTTCCTTTGAGAATTGATTATTTCTTAGATTATTTCTTTCTTTTTCAATATGATTTGATAAATACTTCTTATTTGATATTTTTATTTTACAAGATGTTGCTTCAAACATTTATTTTATTTATACTTATGATAAACTTGTAATAATAATTATTACTTGACGATAAACTGACTATATTCACTTTATAAATATAAAGTTTGTTTGAAAAATTTTCATGTGCTATCATATATATAATTTTAGAAAAAAAAATAATTATCAATTTACATTAAAGATTAAAATAAGGGATTCGTTAAGTTATCTTGCTAATCGATATCGATGCAATCATTTTCTTCCGATAAATTTGAGAAATAATCGATCTTCAATATAATATATATTTTCAAATCATTTTTATTGTATAAATACAATGTAGATTTTTTCAACATTTTATCCGATTTTCAAAAGAACAGCATGTCCACATGTGTGGTATATATAATTATCTGTATAGTCTAGATATTTTTTTACTGTCTAGATATTTTTTTCATCATTATTTCCACTAAATGAAGAAGTATTATGTAGGTAGAAATCTGAAAGTATTAAGTCTGAAAGTGAAAGCATATATCCCGCTATTTAATATTGTCATATGATCTTGTGAGTTGACTTCTGAACAATCCTTAAGATCATTACGCATCACTTTTATTTCCAATATAATTATTTTATTTTATTGTTAATATAATGTTAATCAATTTTTCTTTAATTTCAATATATTTACGTGCAATGATTATATTTCTGAAGATCCAGTCAAAATAAAATTATACATATTCGTATTCTTTATGCATATAGTTTAAGTCACCAATTATTATACTTAGCATTACATTACTTACTTACTAAACATCATTGTAATCAAAAGATGTTTTTCAAAAGATAAGATTAAAATGTTACAGAATAACTAACAGAGAATCACGTGACAGTTTCATTAATTATTCCATAATTGATCTACGAATGATGAAGCGTATGCTTCTTAATCTTTTAAAAATAAAAATGTAGTTTTAACCCCGAACTTTATCATATTTACATGTTTATTCATGTGATATCATTAATTCCATTTATTGTATAAATTTATATTTTGATTTAATAGATAAATATGAAAATAATTTTTATCAATCGATGGCTAAAAAGTTTGAAGATAGGATGATGCATATTTAAAATTCCATTTTATAAATATTTGACGTCATTTTTGGTGTATCGACAGATAACCTTGTCAATAAAAAATAAACAATATTTGATAATTTGCAAGATTATAATTCACTGCCTTGTTAATTAAGTTTGCGTAAATTTTTATCTATAACGACATAAATAATTATCAAATTATTCATTTATATCATATTTTTATTAAATCATGAAAATGAGTAAATGCAAGCAAGTGATCATAAAAGTATCAATTATTGGTTATTGAAACAATTAAAATTGATTAAAAATCAAAACATATTTCAAATGAATACTATAATTTGCAACAGAATTTAGAAAAAATTATGAATTTTATTCTATCATGAATTCTGTCATGAATTCTGTCGTGAATTATTAGACGTCTTTAGAGCTTAATAAATAATATAATTATTTTAAAATAATATAATTATTTTTTGCAAAAAAATGTAATAAAATTGATATGTGTTAGCTAGAGTTGAAAACTATATAAGAAGATTTTTTTTTAATTCTATCTTAAAAAATAAAATTTGGTTAATTTTTATGATACTCTCGTTGATTTATATGTCTCTTATGATTCATCATAAGTTGATTTTGAAATATTTTTTAACCATGACAGGCACTTGCTTGTTATATGTCTTATGTACATACATATGTAATAATAGGCCTAGATTTAAATATAAGATTCATCGAATGAATTTGCACTTTTTCCTAAACTTATACACGACTGATAATACTAAAATCTTAGCATATGTTTCTTTGTTATTTAATAAATTAATTTAATTAATTAAAAAGAGTGCACATTCTCTCCTCTTCTTTTCATGTCATTTTAAAATTCTTCTACACAACAAGTTTTATAAGCGATTATGTTTTTTTTTTAAATATTCCGCTCATTAATAACTGCATTAAATTTGAATTTACTTGTGTGCTTTTATTTCACGTGATAAAATCATTTTTTAAATTCTTTTTTATATAGCTTTCGCAAATTTGTTTGAAGATACTTCGAGATATTATTAAAAAGTTCTTCGACAATGAGAACAGACAGAATGAAGAATGATTCGACCGTGAACTAAATTCCGATTAAACGCACGCGGTTACAAATGAAACAAAGACAATACTACGGATGGATTGGGTCACTTCGTGAATTGTAGACTTAAATTGCCATCATGACGCCTATCTTTTGCAACAATACTTCTCTCGTCTATTGATCGCGACAATATTGCGAGAAAGCGCGTGGAATAGGATTATCTAATTTACACTTCTTGCTTTAATGCACTCTCGTCACGAAAATAATAGTGTGTGCGCTTTTAATTATCTTTTATTACATTAGAGTCTAATATGTATTTTGTAAAATTCACTCATATAGCGGAAAAATTTAAAACATATTACATAAATATATTACATAAATATATTTAATATTATTATCTTACATATATTGGAGAAAAAAATTTTATGAAAAAAATGCACTTTCTGGCAAAAAAGTCATTTATGCGGACAGTTTTTCTTTTTGTTGCTCTCACGAAGAAAATTATATTTTGTTATACTTTGTTTGTCTTTTAATTTAATAATTATTTACAATAAATCTTTGCTATATGATAGAAATATATTTAAAGCACATTGCGAAATTGATTTGAAGAGCCCAATCAAGTTGTATTCTTTATCGACTTTGATCATTAATGCGTTAAATGTCTTATTAATTAATCGCGTTAAATGTCTTATTTTAAAAAAATCATTTAACGTCCAATGAGATAAATGAAACGACAGAATGATGTATTTGCAAGTCCATTTTTTCATTTCACTGTCAATTTTTCAACTATCACGTCACTTTATGCGTCGTCGCATACCTAATCAAATAACTTTACTACCTATATCAAACTGTGGATGCTACTTTGATACTAATCTCATTGCTATTTATATCATTTGACTTTAATTGACTGCGTAGATTAATCCATAATTTAATCGGTGCGAAATTAGAGATATAACAAAGCAATAAATTATAAAAATTAATTATAATAGTTTATATTATGTCGAATTTTATACAGAAATATCGAAATAATTTAGAATGAGATATTAGAAAAAAATGACAAAGTTTCAAGTTTCATATATGTATATATATATATATATATATATATATATATATATATATATATATAACTGGAACTAATTCAAAAACAAAGTGATACATTTTTTATTATAAGAATTAATATACTTCTTATTTATTACCTTACTCAATTCTCAATCACTATCACACAAGGGAAGACTGATCAAAGTTTATCAGTAAACCTAGTTCTACGTGATTATATTTAATTAATTCTTATTATCTAAATGTTAATAATTTTTTTTTACATTGCAAATTAAATTATTTTTTATCATTTTAATTATAAAAGTTGCGTTTTTACTTGTTATATGAATAGGTATATAATTCTCAAAACAAGATAATGTGATTATAGGATATATACAGATATAGAAGATAAGTTTGTCGATGACACACCCTGTGCATATATCGTTTCATAGCAGTGAATTTCCAATGAAATTGTTGCGCTACGCGAGAGAGCCATCTTAGATTATTACAGTTCCTCAATTGAAAAGAACTCGCATTCACTCTTCCGGTGAACACTCTTCACGATGTTATTTATAGTTCATTACAAAAATACATGCTCCACACGCATGTCAAGAAA